AACAGGCGAAGTGTAATTAGATGAATTATCTACATTACAGGATTCGCTTTATGACTCTCCAAGTGACAAACTCTCCCAGTTCTCACGTCACAACAGGGTAAATTCTGGTTTTGAAGTTAGATGAGTTGTACAAAGAAAAAACTACCCGTGTCCTCCAGAACAGCTTAACACAGATGGGTTCTTCCTGTGCAACACTCTTAACTTCACTGAGGGTGCCTCAGTGTAACGGAGAGGAATCGGGGTCTAAAGCCACCTGACTTTCAGAGATGCTGAGCACACATTACTTGGCCATTGAAGTCAACTGGCCTGGTCCTGGAAAATCTTATGCAAAAACTCTAAGCATCTCAGTAGTCCCATTAACTCAATGAAATCACTCGTGGTTAAAGGTGAGCACACAAGTTTTTTCAGGATCCTGTGGGTGTACAGCATCTCTGAAAAAAATCAAACCACAAATGCCCTGTGACGAGGACAGATACAAGAAACAAACACTCAGCAGCTATGGCAACCCTAAAGACAGAATTACACACAGCAATTTGAAACTTTACCAACGTATCATAGGCAATGAATCAAATTCATATAAGGGCCAGCAATTCCCTCTGCCTGCAGTGGGGCTTGTCTTTACATATCTGGTGGCAAAAAATGGCTTACAGGAATACACCCAGGACAACGTGAGTATCCTAGCATATCTCCATTGCTACAATGATCAAACCCTCAACCCCGTACACCCTCCAAGATCCATGGGTCCTAGACATGCTTATTACAACATGTGGTGTACCTCATCCAGAGCACTAAATGCCCCAATAACAACTAAGTGGGTGAAACCAGACGATCACTGCGCTCTAAAATGAACGCACACAGGAAAATGATAAAAGACAAAAACAACCTATCCCCTGTGGGTGAACGAACACCTTTCACAAAGCGATCACTCTACAGCTGACCTCTCAGTCCTCATCCTCAAAGGAAACCTGCACAACACTTTCAAAAGACGAGCTGGGAACTTAAATTCATTACTCTGCTAGGCACTAAAAATCATGGACTGAACAGAGACACTGGATTTATGCTTTATTACAGCAATCTGTAACCCACTAACCTCCCCATTTTTTGTCCTATGGCTGCTGAGGTGTTAATGGGCCTCTCCACCGTGAATGATCCCTTACAATATGTGCTAACTATCTATGCTAAACAATCTGTTCCATCTTGTATTTAGCTGTGACAGAAGTTGGTTCAATAAAATATATTACCACACCCACCTTGTCTCTCTAATATCCTGGGACCAAGACGGCTACAACAACACTGCATACATGGGGCTGTCATGTAATTGCAAAGAGGAGTTAAGAGGTGCGGCAGCTAGCCCTTTGTGACAGGGGCCGTGGGGGGAAGAAGAGAACCTTCAGCAATTATAGAAGGAACCTGATGGTATGAACACACTGAGCCAACTGTCCTATCACAAATGAAAATTCTGGGACTTTCTGCAGTGAATGAGAAATCTGTTCGGCAAGTTTATGAAAAAGCTGTAAATGTGTAATATCTGATAAATCCTGTATCAGGGAAATTCACCCAGCACTGGCAGACAGATGGACTTTATGTTCCAACCGCTCTTCCTTTTTCTGACTGCTAGGATCCTATGAGGTCTTTTAAGTCACGCACTGCCAAACCCTATGCCCACCACACGTGACAGAGAACTGCTGTCATGTCAGTCTCTCTCGGTCTAGGATCTCAAAGTTAAGACAAAAATATCTCACTGCCACACCAATCAGGGCCTTCATTTCCTGCAGCAAACACAACCCCGGCTTTAGACTGCTTTTGCAGCAAAAGAACAATGAAGTTGAACAACTCTGCCACCCTATGGGCACAAGGTAGAGTCTCAGTAAGTCACTCTACAGAAAGCACCTTATGAAAGGGGAGACAAACTCCTTCTGTGCAGAAAGTTACAATCCATTTTTAAATTTTATTTCATAGGCCATGGTGCCACATAAATTCCCATCAATCTTTTGCACAGCTTCCACTCATCACAGCAAGAGGGTTAGACAAAGATCAAGGGTAGCAACTAATTATTAGGCCTCAGTCCTGCAAATATACATACAAGTAGCCCCATTACGCTCTGAGTGGTCAGGGAATCAGACCTTAGTTCGTAAAGTTACTGCTGTTCGCAGCATCGCTCAGTGAGTAAGATTACGCAAAACCCCTTTTAAGACTGGTATTAATCTCCCCTTTTGTTTATTTGGCCACTGGTGAGTCCAAATGCCTGACTTGTGCATATATATCCAGAGGCTGGGCATTCAAACTATGGGCGCAGCTGTTTGCCTATGTTAACTAGCCATAAAGCCTCCTCTCGTTAAGTTTCAAAGCTAACCTGAGTTTAATGAGACCGTGCACACTTCTCAGAGCTGCTTCAGGCTGCCTTAGGGTTTGGTTACACTGGAGCTGGAAGGTGTAAATTCCAACTCAAGGAGACATACCCACACTAGCTCTAATCAAGCTAGCATAGTAAAAACAGAAGTGTAGCCATGGCAGTGCGAGCAGTGGGAGGAGCTAGCCGACCCCAGTACTATGCTGTCCAATACCCTAGGTACATACCCAGGACGGTTAGCCTCTCCTGCCACATGCCCACCACAGCTACATTTCTATTTTGGTGCAAATTGCTCCATCGGAGCTAGCACAGGGGTGACTCCTGGAGCTGGAATTTACGCCTTCTAACTCTACCGATCCTAAGCCTGAAATGACTCTGAGAAGGATACGCCATCTCGTTCAGCTCAAAACCTAATGAAGAGGCTTTATGGCTATATTTTTAAGTTACGCAGGTGATCAGCTGAACACCTATTTTAAACCTTCCAGATCCAGCACAGACATACCCTGAGGCAGCATTACGTCAGGCTACATTCAGAGGGTTCTTTGTGACCATATTGGTTAGATACTTGATACTTTTCTGCAAATGAAATCCGGCATTCTACAGAATCGATATCTGTCATAACGACCAGATGATACACCAAGCAGGCTGAAACCCGCCGTTTGACACACCTTCCTTAGAACTCTGCTGCCTTGTGTCTACGTAGACCGGCGACTTATGGACCTACGATTGCACCATCACTTTGCCCCTTTATAAAGAACAACAACAACAATCTGCACTTCTGCAGCAGCTTTCAGCAAAGGAACATTTTATAGACACTAATTAGTTCTCATGACCCTCCTAATAGGTTACATATTATTATTTGTTTTACAAAAGGGTAAACAAAAGCACAGCAAGATTAAGGCATGGGCCCAGGGCCATGGTAAATCAATGACAATCTTTCCATTGACTTCAGGGGTGCTAAATGTGGCCCCAAGTCACATAGTGCAGGGGTTCTCAACCTTTTTATTTCTGAGCCCCCCCCTCCCCCCAACACGCTATAAAAATTCCATGGCCCACCTGTGTCACAACAACTGGTGTTCTGCATATGCAGCAGATTAAAAGCCACGGCTGGCATTAGGGGGTAGCAAGCCGGGCAACTGACCAGGGCCCCATGCCTCCGGGGGCCCCATGAAGCTAAGTTGCTCAGGCTTCAGCTTTCAGCCCCGGGCGCCAGGCTTGGGTTTTGGCTTTCTGTTCTGGTCTCCAGTGAGTCTAATGCCAGCCCTGCTCTCTGGTTTATTTTGATGGACCCCCAGAAACCTGCTCATGGCCCCCTAAGGGGCCCCGGACCCCCTGGTTGGGAACCACTGACATAGTGAATAAGTAGCAGAGCTGGGAGTGGAACCAGGAGTACTTAATTCTCCTTGAACTTCTAGACACCACTGCCACTACAGAATAAGGACTGAGAAATAAAAACTAAAACCTGTAATCAGAACTTACAAACCAGAGAGTCCTGCTGAGCAAAATCAAATGCACAGTGCCTCTGCTGTATAGTCAGGCTTGTTAGAGTGATTTGTAACTCAAGTCAGATCACTGCTGAGCCAAACAACAGAGGCTGTAATACAGCCGCTTGCAGCTTACCTCACCTGTTTACAGAGAAGACGACTCGGCTTTCTAACGTCAATTTATGCAGAATAAAAAGAGTCCATTCCTCAAAACCCCACCCACTGCCAAAATTAGAAAATTATACAGGTTCCAAATTAAAACAGGTTCTATCCCAGCCCCAAAACATATCTATGCATCTGCTGGAATCCGCTAGTGTATTAGGGTGTAAAGGGAATCAAACTTCCAGTAGTGTGTAACAGAGACACATCATGCAATATCCCATGAACTCAGTGTGCCTGAAGGTATAAAAAAAGCAATGACAAATGGCAAACAGAAAACAAAACCAATAAACTGCCTAAACGGACATTAAAACTGGGGAGTAGGACCTAGGAGAAGAGCAAATGGCAAGAACAAGCCTGTTGAGATACTGCAGAGTTTCTAAGCCTTACCTTTCAGACAGCTACGTTTGGAGATTGTGGGCCAACAATTGATTCTGCACATGAAAGCCCGCTCCCATCTCCTCTGGGTTACTTACCTCAGCCCTCTCCTCACTTATTTCTTTTGTTCCTTTCCTTTTCCCCCTCCTCACTTCATAACAGCAACTTATTATTTCCAACATGAAATGAATTCAATCCTTGACCATTAAACAGTCAAAAGTGAACAGAGGATGGCTCTATTTCCACCATTTCTCCAGCCACCTCCAACTAGGGTATAGGCTCCCCGCCCCACAAAAGAAGCCCAAGCTATTAGAGACAAGACACATTAAGATAATTAATAAGCGTTGTGGATGAATTTTATAAACAATGTTCCACTTTTTTCCTGACAAGAAAATTAAACCTCATTTTAGTTTTTAAATGTTAAATTCCAAGATCAAAAATAAAATAACTGAATGAGAGAGGTCAGTGATCTGGCCTCAGCTCACTAGAGGTCCTGGGGTCTGCGCAGGAGCAAGAATCTGCCCGTCCAAAGCTCATTGTGGGATCAGGGCGTAGGAAATCACGTGGCAGAAGTTCAACAGTGCTGGAAACAATGTTTAGAACAGCATGAATTAAACGGTTCTGCTCACCTCAGGTTTAATTTGCGATCTTCATCACTGCCAACCTCCAGCTAAGGAGGGAAAAGAGGGATAGAGAATGTGTTATGCACTGGCTGTTTCTACCTTATTGTCAAAAATTCCTCACACTTTTTAAAACAATGATTTTTTTTCAATGTCCACAGAAAAATAGTACTATACAGCCACATAAAATATCCCCTCCCACCATTTCCCCCGGTACAGGATGTCAAAGGGGCTCACAGGGAGTTTAAAACCATTAAACACCAATCCTGCAAGCTGGAGGGCAGATCAGCTGGCGGATGGAATGCCTAGACATCACAAGGGATGTGCACACAGCCCTCCCATTGAAATCAACAGGAGCTGAATAGAGCATCAGAATGTTAGCAAAGAGCGGGGCATAAAGAAATCCTTCAATGAATGGGGTAGTGTGTCAATATGATGGACGCAATCAAAACTGTCCAACTCGGTTTTATAAGCCGTATGCTGCTGATCTCTGGGAGGTGCCTATGCGTTTAGGTGAGGAAGATCTGAGCTCTATCCCCAGTTCAAAGCGTGTAGCCTACTGACAAATGTCATGTTCCTAAACGGCCATGGATTTGTTTTTCTGATTTTTTTGCAAGTACCTTAACCTACCAAGAGAAGGTAACCCAGCCATTAGAAGCACGAGTAAAACCTAACACAGCTGGTGAGCCTCCACACAAATGCAGCTTTTACACAAATCAGCAGAAGTTAATTTGGCCTTTAAACTTAAAAAAGGGTAAGAGTCCTACTGGTTTTTATGAACAGTTCTACTGCAGTAGTGCAAAGGCCAGTTGGAGCCCCTTTCTGCTGTACAATGTACAAACAATGCTCTGAAATGTTTTTTGTGGACCTCAACTAAAAAAAAGAGGTTAACATAACATTTTCAAGGTTAGATGGGGTTTTTAATATTAAGACTTCAAAAGGTCAGAGTTAATGATGTAAAGGAATTTGCTGCTCATAGCTAGTAGTTATGGTTCTTAATTTGTTATTGGACATTAAAATGATGACACACAAGTTCTATTACAGCTTTGCATAATCTGTATATTAGACGTATCTATTCAGTGGAAAGGAGATATTAAAAAGCAATGCAAGATTACTGTGACTGATAGAGCTTTGAAGAAAAATATATTTCCTCTATTTTTATAGTTTGTTTACTTTGTGCATTTACCACCACTTAGCGTACTATCAGTTGAGCCCTTATCCTGAGGTCAGACTCCTGCAGAAACCCCCCTGGGCCCATGTGGAGTCCCAGTGATTTCAAGTATCAGGGGGTAGCCCTGTTAGTCTGCATTCACAAAAACAACAAGGAGCCTCGTGGCACCTTCAAGACTAACAGATTTATTTGGGCATAAGCTTTCGTGGGTAAACAACCACTTCTTCAGATGCACCTGAAGAAATATTTTTTTACGCACGAAGCTTATGCCCAAATAAATCAGTGATTTCAAGAAATCCACTGAAATCATTGGACACAGGGTCCACCTGCCTGGATTCAGTTGCAGTGTTGGGGACCTAGTGAGCTCCCCCACTTGTCTGGGTCTGTTACACAGCAATGGGGGAACATACAAATATTTTTTTTTAATTGTGATTGTAACAATATGTATGAAACCACAGATATCATCAGGGAGCTTCAGAACTTGAAGCTACTTTACACTCATCTTTTCAAACTGACTAGGTTTCAAGTTGACCTTTTTAAAAAATAAACAAAAATAGGCACAACAGGAAGAATTAAGGGCTCAATATTACAGAGGACAGAAACCTTCTTAACTGGCTTTAGTTCTTTGGGCAGAACATTTATCTGAACTGACAAGGCTGGCAACTTGACTGGGTATTTGCTGGGTTATATACAAATATAATTATCTTGTACTGGACCCATCACTGGCAGTGCCATTCAACCATCCACTCATCCCCCAGTTTGTCCCAGGCACTCTGAGTGATGTCAAGCCATGGCTCTTCAGGTGAGAGCATCCTGAAATCTGCATCGTGGAGGGATAGATCCATCTTTAGGCCCTGATTCCGCACCGTGACCTGCCCAAGCAGACAGCTGAGCCTGTACAGCTTGCAATGCTACAGCAGAAAAGATGCTGGAGATCTGATAGGGCAAGGGAGCTATTTGAATTTATAAAAAATTAGCGACTGTGCAAACTGGTTTTCTGCTCAGAAAAAAATTCATAAGGGTTTCTAGCATGCCACATTGACACTATCACAATTCCCCTGAAGACAACATTAGCATCCATTTTATAAATCCATACTGGTTTATGTGTTGTTAAGAAGCAGGCTGTAAGAGCTCTTTCATAGTAAGAACTTTTGGGTCAATAATTCCCTTTTTAAAAAGTCTCTAAATACATATTTGCTACAGACTCAGCCTGTAAATCCATCTTCACACAAGAAAGAGCGTAACAGATCAGGGAAAACACAGACACAGTTTGGCTAGAAATTCTTTGTTTTTTATTAACGTTATACAAAAATCAATGTTTAAATTTCCAGGGGTGATTCATATATTCATGGACTTTTAGATCAGAAGGGACCATTAGGACGGAGAGTAGGGGGAGATATCCTACCTCAGCCTTTCTCTGGGTACCCCTTAAAGCATCTCTATTCCTGGCTCATAAAGGTGCTTCTGAAAAGGAATTGCCCTGCCTTTGGAGTACACTCTATTGCAGTGGGTCCCAAACTCCTTCCACTGTTTGCACAGGGAAAGCCCCTGGCAGGCCGGGCCGGTTTGTTTACCTGCCACGTCCGCAGGTTCGGCCGATCGCGGCTCCCAGTGGCTGCGGTTCGCTGCTCCAGGCCAATGGGAGCTGCTGGAAGCGGTGCGGGCACAGGGACGTACTGCCCGCTGCTTCCAGCAGCTCCCATTGGCCTGGAGCAGCGAACCGCGGCCACTGGGAGCCGCGATCGGCCAAACCTGTGGACGCGGCAGGTAAACAAACCGGCCCGGCCAACCAGGGGCTTTCCCTGCACAAGCGGCGGAACAAGTTTGGGAATCACTACTCTACTGCATCCAATGGCAGGCATGAGCCAATCCTCATGGAAGGAGACCCCTATTTCCTTGGAAAAAAAAAAAAAACGGCTTTATACCCTTACAGAACATGATACTGAACAGACATAATGCAGAAACACTCCAAAGACAAGACAGACACACCAAAAGCTTGATTCATCTCTCATATACACTAGATTAAAACCCGTGTAACCCCACTGACTTCAGTGGGATTACTCCTGGTTTACAACTGTGTAAATGAGATGAGAATCAGGTCTCTCTCTTTCACGGGTTCACAGGACGATCAATGGTTTATGTTCAAAATTTAGGTTTTATACCTTTTTTTTAAACAAAGTAAAGATTTTAAAAACCCTTATGGAAACAGAAATATCTTCATGATTTCATAACATTTTCAGTGAAACAAGACGGGCAAGGTAATATCTTTTATTGGACCATCTTCCATTGGTGAGAGAAGTTTTTGAGCTTACACAGAGCTCTTCTTCTGGTCTTCTTCTTCTGACAGGAAGAAGACCACTGTGTAGCTTGAAAGGTCGTTTCTCTCACCAACAGAAGCTGGTCCGATGAAAGATGTTATCTCACCCACCTCGTCTCTCTAACATCCTAGGACCCACATGGCGAGAACAACACTGCATTCCATATTTTTCAGTGAACACAGTTAGAAAATAAACCGTGTCTCTGTGGCTTGGTAAACTCAAACCCACAACCTGGAGCGAGGGCAGAGCCACTAGGGAATTAAAGGCTGAGTCCAAGGCCCACAGTTTGGAATGAACAAAGTAAACAAAGAGCATCCCTGAGCTGGGGACAGTCAATGAGATTTTTACCAGCCATTCCCCACCACCTCCCATACTCAGCTGAGATCATCAGTGGGAGAAGGTTAGTGACAGGGATTTGACAGGTGACAAATAGGGCTGTTAACCTGATAGGAGAACGGACACAGGGGGAAGTATATGGGAGGGAGGCCCAGGCAAGTGGGATGCTGTGTAAAGGGAGGGCATGGGGGTGTAGGGAAGGACACAGGAGAGCGAGGAGTTAGGGTAGGGGAACACAGAGCCTGTCTTTGGGGTTTATAAGGCAGGGGAAGGACACAGGAGCGTATAGGGCAGGAGAAGAGGAACAGGGCAGAGGAGATAACAGAAGTGGGGGCCTATGGGGGTGGTAATAAGGCAGAGAACTATACTAAGGTGTGGGGCCTGGTGCAGAGAGAGGAGGTATAGTGGAGTGAATAGGGCAGAGACGGTATAGCAGGTGTGGGATGTATAGAGGCAGGGGACAGAATGGGGCAGAGTTGTACAGCAGGGGCATGGGCCAGAGGGATATAGCAGGGTATTGGCTCTGTAAAGGAAGGGCTATATAGCAAGATGTATGGGGCAGGGGGCTCAGTGGGGCTGTGCGGGACTGGGGGTATACCAGGCTGTTGTGAAGGCAGGGGGCATGGTGGGGGTATAGCAGGGTGTGGGGGGCAGAGAGTATAGTGGTGGGTGGGGGGTAAGGTGGGGATATAGCAGAGGGGGGGGCAGGGGACACAGTGGGGGGTGGGGTTATATCAGGGGCAGGGGGCACAGTGGGGGTGAGGGAAGGGGCACAGTGGGGATATAGCAGGGAGTGGGGGGCAGGGGTTATGGTGGGGGTAGGGGTATAACGGGGGCAGGGGGGACAGAGAGATGAGGAGGGCAGGGGGTACAGTGGAATGCGGGGGTCATAGTGGGTGTATTGCAGAGGGTGGGGGGCAGGGAGTACAGTGGGGGGCAGGAATTATAGTGGGGTGTTGTGGGGGCAGGGGGCTCGGTGGAGATACAGTGGTGGGCAGGGGGTGGGGACACAGTGGGGGGCAGGGAGTATTTGCGGCGGGTGAGTGTATTGCGGAGAGTGGGGGGGACAGGGGGTAGGGCAGGGGGGACAGCGGGCGTGGGGGGGGGACAGCAGGGTGTGGGGTCCGGGGCACGGTGGGGAGACAGCGAGGCTGGGGGTGGGGGGCACGGTGGGGGGGTACAGCGGGGGTTTGGGGCAGGAGGTACGGGGGGTACAGCGGGGGCGGGAGGCACAGTGGCGGGTACAGCGGGGGGCGAGGGACAGGGGGCACGGTGGGGGGGTACAGCGGGGCAGGTGGGTACAGCGGGGGCAGGGGGTACAGTGGGGGGTACAGCAGCGGTTGGGGGTACGGGGGTACAGCGGGGGGCGGAGGGTGTGGGGGGGTACAGCAGGGGCGGGGGGCACGGTGGGGTGCAGCGGGGGCGGGGGGCACGGTGGGGGGGTGCAGCGGGGGTTGGGGGGTACGGGGGGTACAGCGGGCACGGGGAGCACGGTGGGGGGTACAGCGGGGGTTGGGGGGTACGGTGGGGTACAGCGGGGGGGGGGGCACGGTGGGGGGTACAGCGGGGGTTGGGGGTACGGGGGGTACAGCGGGCGCGGGGGGCACGGTGGGGGGCAGCGGGGGTGGGGGGCCGGGGGGCAGCGGGGGTTGGGGGGCGGTGGGGGAGGGGGGGGGGGGGGGGGGGGTGGGGGGTACAGTGGCGGTTGGGGGCACGGTGGGGGTACAGCGGGGGTTGGGGGCACGGGGGGGGTACAGCGGGGGTTGGGGGGGCACGGTGGGGGGTACAGCGGGGGGTGGGGGGTTGGGGGTACGGGGGGGGAGGGGGGTACAGCGGCGCGGGGGCACGGTGGGGGTACAGCGGGGGCGGGGGCACGGTGGGGGGTACAGCGGGGGTTGGGGGTACGGGGGGTACAGCGGGGGGCGGGGGGCACGGTGGGGGGGTACAGCGGGGGGGCGGGGGGGCACGGTGGGGGGTACGGTGGGGTGCGGCGGGGGGGGGCGTGGGGGGGTGCAGCGGGGGTGGGGGGCACAGCGGGGGTGGGGGGTTGGGGGCACGGTGGGGGGTACAGCGGGGGTTGGGGGGTACGGTGGGGGTACAGGCGCGGGGGGGGGGGGCGGGGGGGGGGCACGGTGGGGGGGTACAGCGGGGGTGGGGGGTACGGGGGGTACAGCGGGGGGGGGGCACGGTGGGGGGTACAGCGGGGGTGGGGGGTTGGGGGTACGGTGGGGGTACAGCGGGGGCGGGGGGCACGGTGGGGGGGTACAGCGGGGGCGGGGGCACGGTGGGGGTACAGCGGGGGCGGGGGGCACGGTGGGGGGTACAGGGGGGGTACGGCGGGGGCACAGCGGGGGTTGGGGGCACGGTGGGGTACAGCGGGGGCGGGGGCACGGTGGGGGGGTGCAGCGGGGGTGGGGGGTACGGGGGGTACAGCGGGGGCGGGGGGCACGGTGGGGGGTACAGCGGGGGTGGGGGGTACGGGGGGGGGGGGGGGGGTACAGCGGGGGTTGGGGGTACGGTGGGGGTGCAGCGGGGTGGGGTGCAGCGGGGGCGGGGGGGCACGGTGGGGGGGCAGGGGGGCACCGGGGGTGGGGGGTGCAGCGGGGGTGGGGGGTACAGCGGGGTGGGGGCACGGTGGGGGTACAGCGGGGGGGTGGGGGGCACGGTGGGGTACAGCGGGGGCGGGGGGCACGGTGGGGGGTACAGCGGGGGTGGGGGGTACGGTGGGGGGTACAGCGGGGGCGGGGGGCACGGTGGGGGGTACAGCGGGGGCGGGGGGCACGGTGGGGGGTACAGCGGGGGTGGGGGGTACGGGGGGTACAGCGGGGGCGGGGGGGGGGGCACGGTGGGGGGGGTGCAGCGGGGGTTGGGGGTACGGTGGGGGGGTACAGCGGGGGTTGGGGGTGGGGGCACGGTGGGGGGGTACAGCGGGGGGGGGGTAAGGGGGGTTGGGGGGGGTACAGCGGGGGTGGGGGGTACGGGGGGTACAGCGGGGGTTGGGGGGTACGGTGGGGGGTACAGCGGCGCGGGGGGCAGGACCGGTCCATCCCCCTTTGCCCGCAGCCCTCGGGGCGGCCCGGACCCCGGACCCCGGACCCCGCTCCCCGCCCGGGGCCTGGCGCGGCCTCCCCCTCGGCCCGGCCCGGCCCGGCGCCCCCGGCTCACCTCGCTGGCGCTGGCCGAGGAGGCGGCGCTGGGGGTCGGCGAGCGCTGCAGGGTGACCAGGGCCATGGCTGGGGCGCGGGGCTGCCGGCTCCGGGCCGGGGCGGAGCGCGGGGCCCGGCTACAGCGACGGCGGCTCCCGGCCTCCGGCCGCCTCCATCCGCTGCTGCTGCGCAGCCTCCGGCCGGGGGGGGCGAGCGGGCTGCGGCGCCGGGAGAGGGCGGGCGGGGGGCCGCGGGGAGGGGGCAGCAGGAGGGGAGGTGGGGGGCAGGTAAGGGGCAGCAGGGGGGCTGGAAGTAGGGAGGGGCAGCACAGGGCTGGGGTGCAGGTAAGGGGCGGGGGGCAGCAGGGGAGGGGGGCAGGCTGGGGGGTGGGGGGCCGCAGGAGGGGAGGTGGGGGGCAGGCTGGGGCAGCAGGAGGGGAGGTGGGGGGCAGGCTGGGGGCAGGAAGGGGGCAGCAGGGGGAGGTGGGGGGCAGGCTGAGGGCGGGAAGGGGGCAGCAGGGGAGGTGGGGGGCAGGCTGGGGGCAGGAAGGGGGCAGCAGGGGGAGGTGGGGGGCAGGCTGGGGGCGGGGGGGCCACAGGAGGGCAGGGTGGGGGGCTGGACGTAGAAAGGGGCAGCACCGGGCTGGGGTGCAGGCAGGGGTGGGGGGCAGCGGGGGGCTGGGGTGCAGGCTGAGGGTGGGGAGGGGGCAGCAGGGGAGGTGGGGGCAGGCTGGGGGTGGGGGGGGCCACAGGAGGGGAGGTGGGGGGCAGGTTGGGGGCAGGAAGGGGGCAGCAGGGGAGGTGGGGGGCAGGCTGGGGGTGGGGGGGGCCGCAGGAGGGCAGGGTGGGGGGCTGGACGTAGAAAGGGGCAGCACCAGGCTGGGGGGCAGCGGGGGGCTGGGGTGCAGGCTGAGGGTGGGGAGGGGGCAGCAGGGGAGGTGGGGGCAGGCTGGGGATGGAGGGGGGGGCAGCAGCAGGTGAGCAGTGCGTTCTGGCAGGGGTGTATGTGTGGGCGGGGGAAGCTGCAAAGGAAGCTTGGCAGGGCTGCGGGGATATCTGCACAGGAGGGGGCCTCTTGGCAGCAGAGTTGGGTCTGGTTTGGTCACTGGGGCAACTGCCTGGACTGCACTGGCGTTAATCCCCACTGAGGGTGACTGGTGCACAGGAGAGGAGCATCAGGTGCACTGTTCTCAGTGCAAATCAAAACCGTTTTCTCATGTTCTGTTGACCTGTGTGACACCTGGTGAGGGAGGATCCAGCTCAGCTGACGGGCACTTGGCAACCTTCTGTCTGTCCCTTGGAGGCTGTGCTAGAAAACAGGTACTGCTTAGAATCCTTTTCATTGGCAAGTGCAATACTGATTTCTTTAACGGTGTTGTTTGCAAAATAAATTACAGGGGATTTCTTCAGTGAATGAAATGTGGGTCATTTTACATCTCTGCTCCTTGTCAGAAACGTCGCAAAAAGAAAAGGAGGACTTGTGGCACCTTAGAGACTAACAAATTTATCTGAGCATAAGCTTTCGTGAGCTACAGCTCACTTCATCGGATGCAACCATGACTGTGAAAACAAAGGGAATTATTAGAATCTCCCAAATAATGGAGCAAATCCTACCCATTCTATTGACCTCCTTCAGTGCCATTGCACGGGTGCAAACAAGGGGTTCACTCTTGTGGTTTATTGTAGAAGCAAATGGGGCAGAAAGGGAGGGGGAGAATACTTGTGATTCCATTTGTATAGAACAAAGGCACTGAAGGCTTGTTAGTTCACAAATGAAAGAGCCAAGGAATTTTAAGGAGATAAAAGTCAATTACAATTTTATGGGCATAATCTGTCTCGTCTTATAAAGATGCTCCATGTCAGTGAGGAGAATAATGATACTTGGGGAATAGGGGAGCGTGACTTATTAGATCTCTCCTTCTACATTGTTGCTAATGTGAATACTCAGGATTGTCATCTGGAGTAATTATGGCCAGGGGCATTTATTAAAATCACACTAGACCAAAGAGTGTTTCGCAGTCCCTCTGGGAGCCTATTACATCTGTCTGTCTTGGAGACACGTACCTCACTGATGTGTCCTCTCTAATAGTGTTTGAACAGTTCTACTCCCCTTAACTGTGTGGAAGCACTGAACAAAGGAGGGCTGGCTCCCCTCGACTCTCAGCAAAGACAAGGCAAAGGGGCTCCTCTCTGTGTGTGCCCCAGGCCTCCAGGGAGTGTCCTGCAGAGAGACCTTCCTTCTAGAATAAAGGGACTGGCAAACAAGCCCTCACTCTCAGAATCCACTAAGCTGGACCAAATTCCTGTCCAGATGGAAGGATATTAGCTATGCTCTCTGGAGAGTAGCCCTCACCACTCCTGACAATCAGTGCTGCATACTGTAAACATTGGAGACGCTCCCTTTGTTTTTCTGCCTTTACATTGGCTTTAGTTCCAGACTCTCACTCTGTCCCTCGCAGTACGGTTTCTGTCCTGCACCAGGACCAGGTCAGTTCTACAGGCCTGTGGGACCAATATGCGTTTTATTTATTTTTAAGAGTGAATCAATTTCTAGAATAAGCATAAAGGGTGAGGCTGGGGCCTCTCTCTCAGGAAAGGACAGGGCAAACATGGAGTGGCACAACTTAAGATCTACACATGGGACTTATTCAGGCAATACTCCCACCCACTGACCTCGGTAGGAGCTTGGCCTGAGTAAGAACTGCAGGATTGAGCCCATAGATACAGATGCAACTCCCTATGATTCAGGGGATTTTGTTAAACCAGGATTGAATTTGAGCCACTAATTCCAAATGAGGGCCCTTTTCAGGAAGAAAACCTTCCTGGTGCTAGCTAGAGCTGGATAAATACTGTGCCAAAGCACCCACAAACATTCATTCAGGTAAGCCCTGTGAATGTATCTGGACAGTATTCACGGCCCCTTTTACTCATTTCCTGTGAATATTTGCATGAGCAATTTGTTTGTGGAATGAGAAAGCGTCACAGATACTCATGGGAACGTGCCTTTCTGGAAACACCTGACTGCCATCTTGAAACGTTTCATGGAGTCATCCAATAATGGAGCACAAACCATACCATGTGACTCAGGCGACCAGCACATAGCATGGATAGTGAATTATAACAACCCTGGCAAATGGAGCCTGTAGGCTGAAGTACGTTCACATCAGCCACTCACTAAACAGTTTCAGAGTGGTAGCCATGTTAGTCTGTACAGCAAAAACAACAAGGAAGGACTCCTCGTTGTTTTCACTAAACAGTGTAGACTAATGGGGAGGCAGTGTGTCCTAATGGATAGGGTGCTGATCTGGGACTTAGGAGACCTGTGTTTAGTTCCCAACTCTGTCGCTGTTGTGCTGAGCGACCGTGGGAAAGTCACTTCCACTCTTTGTGCCTCAATTTCCCTATCTGTAAAATGGGGATAATGCTACTGACCTCCTTTGTAGAGTGCTTTGAGAGCTATGGATGAAAAGCACTGTACAAGAGAGAGGTGTTTTTATTTGTTGTTATTATTTATATTATTAGTGGATGAATTTGTAAGAGCTCAGTCTGCCTACAGCTAATTTGTCAACAGAAGGAAGCTCTAAAGTCACTGAATAACCAGTTTTCTGTGAATAGTCATAGTTATACAGATCTGCAGTAATAATCACAGATGCTTATAAAAGTGAAACAAGCAGACCCTGAACTGCCCTGCTTTGTAGGAGATGGACTCTTGTGTGCAAATTTTGCACCCTGCAATCCATACAGACCGAGTGTACAGAAGGTATTTTAAAGCATCTGACCATGTTAGACAGGCATGAAAATTATTCCCTTTCACATGTGTCACTATTAGCCTTTTCCTAATGAGACCTGAGTCACAGCTGCCTCTGGAGCGCTAGGTGGGCAGTCAGAGGTAACTGATCAAACAGAGAATTGCTACAAAGATGTTGCATGAAATATTTAAACAGCTACATAATCCGGTCAAGGAGAAGCTTCCCATGTTCTCAGAGCAGAAGTGGTGGCAGCAGGAGCTGCCATTAGCCAAGTACTGTCATATGCTGGTTTTTTTTACACAGCGCAGTCCTTCCTGGCTGAAGACCCAACCTGGCAGGAGGAGGGTGCAGTCTAGCAGTTTGGAGGGGGTGTCTCTGTTTCCAGCCCTGCTGTTGACTCACCGTGTGACCTGGGGCAGATCATTCCATCTCCCTGAGCCTCTGCCTCCCTATCTGTGAAATGGGGGTAATAATTCTGACACGCACCCCCCCCCCCACGGGTGCAGCTTCTGTTCAAGTTAGATCATAGAATCATAGAATATCAGGGCTGGAAGGGACCTCAGGAGGTCATCTAGTCCAACCCCCTGCTCAAAGCAGGACCAATCCCCAACTAAATAATCCCAGACAGGGCTTTGTCAAGCCTGACCTTAAAAATATCTAAGGAAGGAGATTCCACCACCTCCCTAGGTAACGCATTCCAGTGTTTCACCACCCTCCTAGTGAAAAAGTTTTTCCTAATATCCAACCTAAACCTCCCCTACTGCAACTTGAGACCATTACTCCTCATTCTGTCATCCTCTACCACTGAGAACAGTCTAGATCCATCCTCTTTGGAACCCCCTTTCAGGTAGTTGAAAGCAGCTATCAAATCCCCCCTCATTCTTCTCTTCCGCAGACTAAACAATCCCAGTTCCCTCAGCCTCTCCTCATAAGTCATGTGTTCCAGTCCCCTAATCATTTTTGTTGCCCTCCGTGGACTCTTTCCAATTTTTCCACATCCTTCTTGTAGTGTGGGGCCCAAAACTGGACACAGAACTCCAGATGAGGCCTCACCAATGTCGAATAGTGGGGAACGATCACGTCCCTCAATCTGCTGGCAATGCCCCTACATATACATCCCAAAATGCCATTGGCCTTCTTGGCAACAAGGGCACACTGTTGACTCATATCCAGCTTCTCGTCCACTGTCACCCCTAGGTCCTTTTCTGCAGAACTGCTGCCTAGCCATTCGGTCCCTAGTCTGTAGCGGTGCATGGGATTCTTCCGTCCTAAGTGCAGGACTCTGCACTTGTCCTTGTTGAACCTTATCAGATTTCTTTTGGCCCAATCCTCTAATTTGTCTAGGGCCTTTACAGATCTTGTCTGTAAAGCATTTTGACAGCATCAAAGGCATGGCACCATGCAAGGAAAAAGTCTAATTGCCAGACAGGAGAAA